AGTGTTTGTTTTGTTTTTACATATTTATGTTCTTGTTCTAAAGCATCTCTTGGTAGTGGGCCACTGGTTGGTTCTATGATTCTGTTGCTTTCTATCAAGCAAGTCTTCTCAGAAGAGCTCCTGTTTTTAAGTCTGACTTTAAGGTAAATTTGAAATTTCCAATGAGGTTTCATTCAGATGAAAAAAAAAAATCTTTTCTCATAGATTAGCACCCTGTTCTCGCTACAAGCTCCCAGACACGCACTAGTAAGTATTAATTAAGAGCCGGGGAGACCGCCTTCCTCAGCCCTGGCCGCTGCAGCCCTCCCCTGCATTGCCTTGATGGAATGTCCCTGACCTGGTCTCCCAGTGAATACTTCAGAGAAGAGAGGCTGAAATTGTTGATTGTTGTCACATCAGAGAGTCTGGGCCTTTTGCTTTTAGCACTGCAGTGAAGTCAAAGATGAATTTGCTTGTTCTTTATTAAGCTATTCTGATGCTTTTCAGAATGATTTTGACATTGATAACAAACAGTTGTTTTTCTAAGGTCTCTACCAAATACTACATCAAAGCTGAACACTGAATAGAGGGAGGAAAACGACAGTGAAATACTGTTTAAAGCAGGGCTTTGTACAAGTTCTCCTGCTTTGATTTTTCAGCTGACATCCGACACTGTTTGTCTTGTGTGATGTTTCCAGACCCATCACAGTTGAGATGTCTGAGAGATGGCGAGTGATGGGAACGCACTTTTCTGGGCTCGACCTATCTGGATTAGAGGGAAGACAGAAAGACGGGGAAGAGCAGAATTGGCACTGGCACCTGCCTTTGGGCACAAAAAAATAAAAGGACCCTTTGTGCTTTAGGGCGGCTTATCTTCTGGGCCACACAATAGACTTATCCCCCTCGAGCCTGATAGGGGTTGCTCCAAAGCTCCGGCTGTTGGGTCTTTATGCCCGTTTCCGGCCTAACCAGAGTGTCAGGTTTCCAGTGTTCTGAGTCTAAAGAAAGGGACTTGGAAAGAGTGAAGAGAGGCCAGGCTTTTCTGTGTGTCCAGTAACCCCTGCCCTTTTTTGTTCTGGTTCTGCAGTGTTGCCCGTTATTGTCATGGCATCTCTGAGTTGAAGACCCTGAAGGGCATTCATTCCAAGCCATTCATTCAGAAATGTGAAATTAATTTTTTAAAACTATTATTGCTATATCAGAAGTTGGTACCAGGATTACAGGATTTTAGGTTCTGATTGAAACCCTTTGGCTTAGTTTTCTTCAGAATTCTCTAAGAAATTTGTGTTTTAAGATAAGAATAGGACCCATTTTTTACATTGAATTTATTGGGGTGACATTGGTTAATAAAATTATGTTGGTTTCAGGGGTACAGTTCTACAATACATCATCTGTATATTGTATTGTGTCACCACCCCAAGGACCATTTCTATGAAACATAAGTTGACCAGACTGATCTGGTGAAAGCTCATCAATGGAGTCTATGATATGTAAATTTTCCATATTAATAAAGTGTGTCCCTAGACCACATTTTAACGAGCTGCCTAGCATTCCTTTATATGGCTATAACATATTTATTTAAGCAGTCATTAATTTTTGTTTCTAACTTTTTTGTATTATAAAAATGTTGTGATGAACATCTTTATAAGTAATGATTTCCTTAGAATAAAATACTAAAGGAGAAATTGCCAAGTAAAGGGAGTTTGCATATTTTGAGGGCTTTTGACTCTTAATTACCAAATTGCCATCCTGACCATTTGCATCCTTCACATTCTTATCCACAATATCAAGGAGCACCTGTGCTCTCTCAGCCGTGGGAAATGCCATGTTTACACAGTGCTGTTTGTCATGATTTGTTCAGTGGTCAGTTGTCCCGGTTACACTGTAGTGAATTTGTGTAAGTATATATCAGCTTTGCTCACCCCCCAACCTCCTCCTGCTCCCATATTCTGAAATATATGTTGGAGGAAGAAGGTATTACCAATTTTTTCTTCATAAGAGGTGGCATTGAGGTATATACCAATTATGAAAAATAACAGAAGCCAAAGCGTTCCTTTTTAGTAAAACTGAAAAGCAATGAGCCTGTTGACTTAAAATGACAAAAATGTTACTGGTGTGTCCTTTTCCCCAACAGAAACCCAGACGGAGATGTGAGCCCCTGGTGCTACGTGGCGGAGCAGGAGGACGGCGTCTACTGGAAGTACTGCGAGATCCCCGCTTGCCAGAGTAAGACCCTCACGCACCCCGCAGGTTCAGGACACTGAACACTGAGAGTGTAGAGGGAAGGCTGCTGCGGAGGGCAGGCAGTTCAGGTAGCTGGATTTCATGGAGCAGGTGAAGGGAGAAGCCATCCTGGCCTGAGGATTTTCACTTCTCTTGTTGAGCTTTTCAGAAATGGGGAAGCCTGGTTCCCTCGGGATCCCATTTCCTTGATGGATAAACCAACCAGAATTTTAACTTCTACTCAGTTTCCTCATGCTTATTCTTTCATGGGTAGAGATGGCAATAGTAGCAAGCCAGGGAAAGTACCTTATACTTTTGTGAATGAATTTTTTTTTTTTTAGAATGAATAAAGACAGTGAAACTAAGTTATGACACTACTTATTTGGATTTAATGTGCTGTGTTCCCTGAAACATGATATTTAGTAAATATCTAATTAGATACCTTCCAAAGCCAATGGGATAGACCTTTTCCTCACATTAGCATTTAGAGGTTCTGTTGTTTTTATGAAAACTTACAACTTGTGCCTTTCTACTACCAAAAAACCAAATCCCAAACATCCCAGTTTCTTTAATCTTTTACTAGGAGGCCTGTTTTCTAACTGTTTCACTCCTTTATTCCTATAATTAGTGTTTTTGATATCCAAGATACAAAGGCAGGAAGATACCCTGACCCTTAAGAAATATATGATGTGGCAGGGAACCTTAGAGAGATACTTTAAAACAAGGTAGAAAATATTGTAGGAAGATTTAAAGTACAGAAACCAAAACTAAACATGGTATTATAAGGAGATTCTGAATGTAGTGTTTGTAATATCTTCTTAAATATGCCAAATGGTCAGGGTTTCTTAGTTCCTAGAGCTGAAACAGGACAGCTCATTTATAGTCATTTTACCTGAGTAATTTTTTTCCTTGTTATTTAAACCTGCTCCTTGCCCTGCCTCCTTCCGTATTCCTCAGGTCAGGAGCCTGTATATATAGAGTGATATGGTGGTTTGCATGGAACCTGGGACCCCCCACACTCATGCTCACTGCAACTGTCCAGATTCTGAGGCCTCAAGGGGAAAGGGTGGCCCCTAAATTGGTGCTGCTGGCCCAGTGCTCACCTTTCATAAGTTAAACTTCCAAATGTCACCCCTGCTTGGCAGTTAGGTTCTGGTTTCACTATCCTTCCAGCATGTGTACGTCTTGATTCAGTCCCACAATTGAGAAAACAGTAAAGACCAGAAGAAAGGGCTTTTGCTCAGTCTGCTTAATCAAATTTTTAAAATGAAAAACATCTCATTTGGCCCTAGTTACGTAAAGAAGAAAGGGACGGGGGAGAGGAAAGCAGATTTTCCTCGGTCCATTTGTTCGACACAAAGATAGTCTTTTAGTACCAGCCTATGTATGTCATTCTCTCAGGAATGGCAAAGAGGGGATTTCAATCTGGCAGTTTTGTTTGGAAGGTAATCCTCAACTTGCATTTATAAAATATAATTTGGGCCAGTGGGAGCTGACTCAATGTGGTCACTGAAACTAAGGTTCAGAAGAGAAGATTAGAGCAAAAGTGGTACAAGCCATCTAGTCCCCCTCTAATTCAATATTTGTTGCTCCAAAAAAGGGAAATTTGATATCATTTCCTTTTTGTAGGGCCCTTTGATAACCCTCTCAAAGCTCCTAATGCTGGCCTTGAAATGGTCTAGGTAGGGAGACTTACAGAAATTTGGAATAAGCACTGGGCAGTACCTAGTTTGAGGGGGTTGGGAGGGCCTGGCTTGATGATATTGAGGTTCTTTGGAAAAACCTTACGTTCACCCTGTGGGCACCAAGGCTCCCCACCAAGCTGAGGCTCAAACCTTGAATCTGGCAGAACATTGTGCATCGAGTGTGTCTGATTAGCATAGTTGAGAAAGACTCCTGTGATAGTTGCAGTAAGAGACGTTGGTAATTGCCTTAGAGGACTCAACTGAATACATGCCTGCCTATTTTAGGCCAGTTTTGCCCTATTTCTGGATGTGGAGTCATAATTTTCATGAATAATACGAACCCTCTGTGTGAAGCCCCGCTATTCATGATTAGCACTGAACTTGTCATACAGGAAAAGGCCTGTGACATGATCAGACTCCTGGAAAGTTCATATCTGAATATAACAGACCCAGCAGGAGCCAGGGGGAATGAATGTTTAGGGACAAAGCAGAGTGTGGTTGAATGGCGGGCCATTGTGTGAAGACCGGAATCTCTGCCCCCCTGCATGTTACACAGAGAGCTAAAACGAGCAGGGAGGCAGCGAGGGAGTGTGACTCAAAAGGGGGCACAGAGAAATTTGAACTGTGCTCTTGACCTACAGAGCACGGATCAGAACTTGCCGTTCCAAGGAGCACACTCTACGGTAATTGGATTTGCTCCTCAAACCACTCTGCCGATGTGTTTCTCAGAATCCCCAAGGTTTTAATGCAGGCAAAAGAAATACAGAGTTTTAAAAGCAGATTCCAACATTATCAAATTTATCATCCCTCTAGAGCCCACTCTAACTCTGTAAGTCTTGCTGGTTTGACCATTACGGGGGAAATCATTTGGCTTAAAATCTGTTGTTTGCTTATCTCCCTTTTGTAAAAAACCTTCCTCACCATTCTAATTCCCACTTATTTCTCTGCTTGAGTGACATCTTGTGTGGACCTCAGCATTGCTCTTGCTTTGCTCTATTTTTCTTATCGGTTCTTTATAACAGTGTTGTTTTTTTAAGTAGATAATCTAGTTGTGAGTTGGGGGAGGAACCTGAAAGCGGCATTAAAAGCTAATATAATTTTCTTCACACACAGCTGATTCGGGCCACATGCATGAAAAACTTACCTTTCATCTCTGAGAGCTATTTTTGTTTACTATCATTCACCTGATTTCTATAAATCCAACTATAAAAATTCATTTTTGAAATAATAAAATTTGAATACAGACTATTAGATTATAGTAAGGAATCACTGCTAATTGTATTAGGTACAATAAAGTTCTTTTAAATTATACATACATATTGAAATATTTGTGATTAAAATAATATTATATCTGGGATTTGTTTTAAAATGGTTCAGTCTCCCCAAAAGTGAGTAGGTGGGGTGAGGGAAATAGATGAAATGAGAATTTTTTTATTTTTTTTGTTTTACAAAGTGGTCATTTGGCCCTGGCTGGGTGTCATCCTGTGTATGGAAAGGTTGCCGATTAGATTCTCTATACGGGCTCCATTGTGTAGGAGGGCCATGCAGGAGACAGCCAGTTGATGTTTCACTCTCACAATGTTTCTTTCTCTCCCTCTCCCTTCCTCTTTCTCTAAAAATCAATTTTAAAAAAACCTCAGAGTAAAAAAAAAAAAAGTGGACATTTGTTGATGCAGAGTGACAGGCTCATTATTCTTTCCTATTTTTGTGTATATTTGAAAGTTTCCATTGCAAAATATAAATTTTATAATATTTTTAAATTACATGATATTTTAAATATTAAAAAATTAAATACATTCAAAATATATGGATTCAAATGTGTAATAAGAGTAACGTAGACCCTGTCCCGCTGCCCCGCCTGGCCCGCAGGTCGTCCTCACAGCAGCTGCCCCGGCTGAAAAAAAAAAGAGTAACCTAAATTGTAATACTTTTACGTGTAGCTCACAAGTATCTGTGTTAGTTATTAAAATTAGTGATTACAGGTTTTGTTATTGAAGTTAATAAAGCTATTAGTTATTTAAGGTTATTAAAACTGTTATTTAAGTTAGTTATTATTAAAGTTAAAGATATTTAAAGTTAGTTACTAAAGTATAAAATCACAAGGACTCTAGAGGTTATTAGCTGTGACAAATAACATTTTTTTTAAGCTCCAATCATATGCTAGACCTTATACAAGATGGGGACACAAGGATGGCATTGGTCTGCAGCCTGGGGTCAGGGGAGCCCCTGGCCTAGAACTGAAGACAGACACATAAACAGATGGGGATATGCAAGATACTCTATAACAAGTGAGATGAGCAAGAGGTTGGGAGTACTGAAGAGGGCCGCTGCCCTGGCATGGTGGGAGGCAGGGGCTCCTGTTTGTCAGAGAGGGCTTCTGGACATAAGACCTGGGGCCTCAGTGAGGGGCTTCTCCAACTTTAAGGTTGCGTGTAAAAATGTAGCAGTGCGGTCCGCAGGGACCTTCCTCAGACGCAGATTCTGATTCAGTGGGCCTGGGATACACTTGAGACTCTGTTTCTAACAGGCCCCTGGGATGCTGGAGCTGCAGGGCCACGCCTTTTAGTAGCTGAGTTCTAGATGGTAGGGTCAGGTGGAGCAGAGAGGACATTGGAGGCAGAGGGAACAGTTTGTGTGCACATGTGCACACACTCGAATGCCCAAGTAAAGCCACTGTTGCTGAGACAGAAATTTTAAGAAGGAAGGTAGGAGTTGAGGTTTGAAAAGAATTAGGTGGGGCCAGATAACGTTAGGTCTTATGATTTGAATCCCGAGCTTGGACTTGACCCAGGAAGATGGTGATGAGGCTGAGGAGAGTTTGGAGTGTTAGGAGACATTTCTCCATAGTTTCCTAAGTCTCCATATTAGGGATTTAGGGCAAGGCTTCTCCCTCTTAATCTGTGAGACGTTCTCTCACTTGTATCAGCCACACAGGCCAGCCCTTCCAGGATGCCAGTGATAGCACCTGGGCAATATGGGACCTCTGGTCAGTCTCAGCCAGTGACCTCACAGGCTCAAGTTCCTTTTAATTGACACCCTGACCTTTGTTAAAACAAGTCTGTTGTTCCTTACAAAAATGCAGCCCAAAAACCAGGATTTGAAAACTTCCAATTGTCATCCTACTAAGAGTTTTTAAAGCTATGTTCAGAGTTTGGGTAAAAAGCCAAGGGCACTTTGGCAGTGGTGGTCAAGGCGGTCTCTCAGTTATAGGAAATGTTTTCTGCATTTTAATGTCAACACTAATTTTTAGTATGTTTTAGCTTTTATTTGAGCTATTATTGAGCACCTACTGTGTACAAAGCATTTATATTCACATTA